GTGGGAGTACCTACCTCTTGTATGTTGTGCCAGAGCTCGCTCTTGGCCGGGGAGAAGTGCAGCAGGTTGAAGGCCAAGGCGTGCGCCCACAGATGGAACAGCAGGCCCTCCTGACGTGTGGGTGGTGACACAGGCATCAACCGATCAGTGGTGTAACATCCACCTTATATCCCCCACCCCACTCACTGCAGTGATGTCCGACGGAACGACAATGGGCAAAACCTCGTTGTGGCTACTGCAGTGCACAAAGGAAGGAACACCCACACAAACCATACACCTACCTTCACTCAACACCTATGCGGCCCGGCTGGCGACCCACTCACTGGTGCAGGGGGCACCTCTGGAAGTTGAGGACGATCAGTGCGGGCCTCTGCTGGTAGATTATCCAGCTGGGGCCCCACCGGCTGCGCAACGAATGGGCCGATGCGGGGGCACCTGCCGCAGCAGCAGCGGGCTCGGCGTCGGGCTCATAGTCGCCAGACCACTGACGGATCGACTCCCTGACCACATCAATCACACACGCGCGGTGGACGGACGGGGTGTGGATGTGAGCACTGTGTGTGTACTTGAGTTGCTCCTGTGGCTCGAGCAGGAAGTTGCTGAAGAGTTTGCCGGTCACGGGCGAGAAGTGCTTGTCCGCATCAAACCACTGATCAATTAGTTGATGACAAACACAGCCAACCAACACACGGTTGCACTCAGCCGCACAACTCCAGCACACAAGCCCTTCACCCTCCTGACCTTTGCCGGGGGTCACGGTGCTCGATGTCCTTCGCGAGAAGCACCCACCGCAGCAGCAGCCGCACGAGGAAGCCTTCCTTCCCTGTGACGACCTCCCTCCCCTCATTGACGTGGACATCACGGACTCGACCGTGGAGCGAGCGGCACGGAGCCTCAGTGGGAGCGCTGGACTGACCGGTGGCGATGCGAACTTCTGGCAGACCTTCCTCCTCCGATACGGTGCCAAGAGCGGCCGCCTCCGCGCGGCTGTGGCCTCGCTCGTCTCTACCCTGGCCAACACCATCGTCCCATGGGACAACATCAAGGCCCTGCGAGCGTGCCGCCTCATCGCTCTCGACAAATACCCTGGCGTCCGCCCCATCGGCGTCGGGGAGGTGTTCTCTCGCCTGGCTGGCAAGTGCATGGCCATGGTGACCCGCTCTGACCTGGAGACGACCTGCGGCACTGATCAGCTTTGCATCGGTGTGAAGGGGGGCCTCGAGGGGGCTGTGCATGCGGTGAATGACCTCTTCCAAGAGGACGAGACCAAGGGGCTCCTGCTGGTGGACGCGAGCAATGCCTTCAATCGCATCAGTCGGCCTGCTGCCATCTGGAACACCCGCGTGCTGTGGCCCCGCTGCTCTCGCTATGTGTTCAACACCTACCGAGGATTCGCCGCACTTCACCTGCAAGGCTCAGCCGGCTGTCTGTAGAGCTGTGAAGGCGTCACAGAGGGCGATTCGATGGCGATGTTCGTCTACGCCTGCGGCAGCCTTCCCCTCATCCATGCCCTGCGGGCTGCCTGCGGTGAGGAGGGATATGAGATGCCGTCGAGTGAGGCATGGGATGAGTCAGGCAGCGATGGGTCTGGGTCAGACATAGACGAGAACAAAAACGCGCCATCAGAAGCGCAAGAGAGGCCAGAAGACAGTGACACGCCACCAGAAGCAGAGGGGGATGGTCGCCCACTATGTGTGTGTTCTGATGTAGAAGGTGTTGGAGTTGGTGAGGAGGAGAGTTTGTCGGCCTCGTCAGCCCCGTCGGCCTCTTCATCTAGCGCTTCGCTGCGGCAGTGCTGGTATGCGGATGACTCGTCGGCGCTCGGCAAACTTCACGGCATCCTCGTGTGGTTTCGAGCCCTGCGTCGCATCGGTCCCTCATACGGCTATCACCCAGAGACCGCCAAGTCCTTCCTCGTCGTCAAACCCGAGCTCGAGCAGATCGCAAGGGAACTCTTCGAGCCCGAGGGGGTGCAGATCGTCACGGGCAAGAGGTTCCTGGGCGGCTACGTGGGCGATGAGGGGGGAAGGGCGGCGTTCCTCTGCGAGAAGGTCGAGGGGTGGGTGCGCGGCGTGCGCGCGCTCACGTCTGCTGCCCGCAACTTCCCACACACGGCCCACGCGGCAATGACGAGGTCTCTGCAGATGGAGTGGGACTACGTCTTTCGTGTCGTGCTCACCGACGAGTGCGCTCTCAGCCCCCTCCGCGAGGCCATCGCCAAGGAGCTGCTGCCGGCCCTCCTCGGCGGCCCTGTGACGCCGTCCGAGGTCGACCTGATGCTGCTGCCTGCCCGGCATGGCGGCACCGGCATACGTGACCCTCTCGACCGTGCCGCAGCCGCCTACCCCGCTTCCCGCGCGAGCACCAAGGTGGTCTCCAAGTCCGTCCAAGGCAAGGCTCCGTTCCACCCTGGCGACCATCGTGCCACCATCCGCCACGCCCTCACCCGGAGCAAGCAGCAGCAGGACGTCGCCCACAAGACCAAGAGGGAGGCCGCCCTGCCGCACATCGACCGCCGGCGCCATCGCGTCCTCTCCCGCAGCGCCGAGTACAAGACGTCCGGCTGGCTGACCACCCTCCCGTCGACAGACAACAACA